AAGTGGTTAGACACGAGATATGTTGAAGGCTGTGAAAATTTAAGGATGTATGTTGCAATTCCAGAGTAATCATTAAAAATAAAAAGATGCAATGACGTATACCCGTAGTTTAAAAGGTAATGGAAAAATGCATTTCTTAAAAAAAGAAATTTCAAATAAATCCAAAAAAGACAAGAGGGAAACACGGGAAAAAAACAAATGAACAAGAACAACAAAAAAAACCAACAACCAAAAAGAACAGAAAACGCAAGATAAAATAGTAGATTTAAATCAAATCATATCAATAATGATTTGAAAGGTTAATGAGCCAAATACTTCAATTAAAGGCAGAGAATCTCAGATGGATTAAAAAGAAAAGACCCAACTATAAGTCTACAAGAGCTTTTCTTTAACGATAGACACAAGAATGTTGAAAGTAAGCCTAATAACCTTACTTGCAATTTCATTCAATACAAGCATACTGATGTGGGAAAAGGTTAAATAAGTTTTGAATGTTTGTCCCTTTTCACACACTTCATAGTAAAAAAAAATCAAGTGTAGACTTTTCTCTAGCCAAATACACTTGTTAATATGCTCAGAGATCCTATTCTTTACAATACATTCTATCAACTTGGAAATAGTTCACTAATTTTTATTGGTAGCAGTTCAAAGAAGACAATGCCATCTCCTGCATAACAAGAATCCTGAAACATTTCTACTAGACCATGAGCTCCTGAAATGTAGGGAACTATTTCACTTCTCCCACATTTCAGCATATAGATACACCGACCATAAACGCCCACTAAACAAAAGTTTCAATGGGCGAACTGCCATGTGTACTAAGGAAAAATTGAATACTTACCGCTGGAAGCCTCTGTGAGGTCTGAAAGTGGAACAGACTCTTCAACTAAATATCCAGACTGCGTTAAACAAGATTCAGATTCCTTGGGGAAAAAATAATTTAGAGTAAAGAAGTATTAAACGCTTATAGGATTACTGATATCTTTATAAAGATCTGAGTAAGCTTTACAGGTTATCTGGAAATCTGATGTTAAACCAATCAATCAATCAGTCAATCACATTCATTATCTAGTTGTTGCAGAAGTATATGGGAATCTAACTGAAAGCAGAACTATCATTCTAACTGCATCCTAAATATCCTACCAATTTTCAGTTCCATGGGAAAGTTTATAGGACACATTTTTATTGCCTTTTGTTTGACAGTGAGAAACTATGTTAACTGCATTCAATAAAAAGGAAATTGTCAAAATAACAGAAAACATCATATAATAACTAAAGAAACAACAAAGATATCAATAACTAGGATAGGAAAACCATTAGTGGCTAGAACAGAAAACACACTCTTATTAATGTGGAAACTTTCCATTTCTAAATCACAGTGTATGTTGAAACAAAGTTCTGATAAGAAACAATTATTATTGGTTGTCAGATGATGATTTCATATTAACTAAAGTAAAGGGAGCAGAGATTTTAAGTGATTATGAAATACAAATGAAACCTACTGGGCCCTGAAGAATCTTTAATGACTATCAAACATTTATACTAGTCCAAATAAGATCATTAGGACAGGTACTGAATCAATACGACAGAAAGTGCAGAAAAACGGTTTCAGCTCTAATGGCACTGGGTGTTTCCTCTCACTAAAGAAATGGGAACCTGCTGTATCAAACCAAAACCAACAAACAGTATGAAGCAAGAAAAGCAGTCACGAGAACCAGCTCCCTGGTTACATTTGAGTGAAGGTCAAGGATCTTCAATAGTATTATGTAATTCATTTTGGTCTTTTAATAATCTTGACAGGCTTTAAAGTTATCAGCAACAAAAATCTCTCCAGTTACTTGAAAGAAGTGAGCAGAGCAAAGAAGCAATTGCTAAATAGCACCCGCTTCCTAGGCAGTATTAAACCAGTTAGGGGCAGCAAGGCTGAAGTGCGAGAGCCCCAGACCTGAGGAGTACGGCCCATATAGAATCTTCATCTAATTCACCAGTTATGTCTAAATAATACGCTCAGATGTCGGCCTCCTTTGGCAGACGAGCTGCTCCAGCACAGGACTGTGACTTTCTGTTGTACCATCAGCACCTAGAACAACACCTCGCAAGCAGAAGACCACAGTGCTCAATCTTTTCACAATGCCTTTTTCATAATAAAAAAGCAACATATTAATCAAAACTGTCTAATAACCAAGAAGTCAACCACTACCTACAGAAATTAACAAGTAGGAAATACACACACACACACACACACACACACACGTGCACAATTTAAAACCCAGCTACAATATAGCAGCACAAGGTACTACAATTGAAAATAAGATCTTGACAATCTTAAAACTGCCTCGCCAGGAAACCGAAGCTGCATTTTCCTGTTTCCAGTAAGTGAATTACGGTACCTCATGAAGATCTGCGAGAGAAGTTTCAACAGCACATGCTCTGTCTGTATTGGGAGTAGCAATATTGAATATCTGCAGATCAATTGCATCAGCTGGATTTTCATCAGAGTTGGCCCGAGAAGATCTTCTCTGACGTTTGGATAACTGTGCAGGGAACTCAGACTGTTGACATTCACCATGACTTTCCTTTTTAGCTAGACACAAAACAAAATAAAAACAAAATAACACAGGCATGAATATTTTCTTTCACAATACCATTTTACAATTTTGTACATCATCTTAATTTTACTAAAATTTAATGTTTGAGTCTAAATAATTTAGCAAGAAAAAGAAAAATCTAGTACAATTTTTAATTCAAAAGAAAAATCTGATGAAAAGGCAAAAGAACATGACTACTAAACATAAAAATTTAATTATAATTAAGTTTTTTCAGATTTTAGAATGTATCAAGATATGCTAAAATACATTTGCATTGGTGATACAGTATCTCATTCTATTTTTAAATTTATATTGAAACATCCTTTTGAACATTTTAAAGGATGTGGTTATGTTCTAATATTGTTCTGCTTTGATCGTGCAT